TGTTGGAGGTCTAATTGCAAAACATTCTTTATAAATCAGCCTACTTCAACGTGTTGTACTGTCCGCTAGACTTTAGAAAAAGATGTTTACCCAACAGTTTCTTATATTTCATTTAGCCTTGCTTAATTCATTACTCAGATGTAGGGATATCTTATCAGGTTTGTTTTTACCACATGTTTAAATTTGTTTAGTGAAATAATTATATCAACCGTTGTCCCTAAATAATAGTGGCCAAGGGAAATAACTCAAATACTTCAGCTTCTTGACGTCTTCTGGCTATTTGTGTTGCTGTTACGATGACTTGTACCCATATCATCTCCTTGTGTGTAGATTCATTATTATTGTTGGGGTACCAATTTTTCATCAGTTTTGTGGGCATAAGTAAACCATGAATTTAAATGTTCATGAAGCACAAATTTTCTATTGACTAGTTTACAGATTTTGACAAAACCACAAAATCAAATATCCACAAAATATATAATTATTATTATTATTATACCCTGCTTTAAAAAAGTGGGGGTATACTGTTTTACCTCTGTCTGTCCGTCCATCTGTCACATGAATATTTTCCATCGCATCTTTCTCAGGAACTACATCATAAGGATTTCTGAAATTTGGTTTCAGGGTATATATAAGTCAGCTATACCGTGTGATGTGTTTTCAGATTCATCACTCAACAACTTCCTGTTTACTGAAATATTTGGGTGGGGGTATCATCAGTGAGCAGTAACTCGCAGTTTCACTTGTTTTCCTTGATTCATGAAAAATTGGTTCCACCAAAAATAAATCAATCCATAATAATATACTTCACAGGGAGGGGTGTAAAAATTAATCAGATTAGTCCAGATTACTATTATCTTAATACCCTATTTCAGATCTTTGGCTTGATTTCATTAGAATGGAGATGACCCATCCAAAAGGTCAACCTGAAAATGTAGGGACTTTACACTACAGAGCTATCAACCAGTTAGATGGGGAGTTAAACCAGCAGTTTGTTACTGAGTTCACCTTACTGCAGACAGGTCATGACATTGACATTTTGGAAAGCTAGCTGTCAACATTGATTATGTAAAATAAAAGATTGTTTATTATTATGTTTTAGATATTTTCTAATACAATAGTTTGTCTGGAAAGATAAAAAAATACATTTACAAGAAAATGAAAGTTGGCACTTTATTCTGAAGTCAAATATTAAAGTATACAACATAAAATTAATGAGGTCTAGTACATGTAGTATGGTGGTAAATGAGACAACTATCTACCAGAAACCAAAGGACAAGAATGATAACAACTGTACGTCACCATTCTTCAACAATGAGCAAAACACAAACTTAGTATGAAGTAAGCTATAAACTGCACCTACCATAACAAAAGACACATTTATAAGAAGATATAACAAACAGCCTTATTTCTGTTAAAACAAATATGACAGATGGCAAGAAACAGAAACCAATAAATTACAGGTTCCTGACTTTGGACAGGAATATAAAGACTCTGGATGTTAAACATGTTTATTAAGGCTCCCCTAAACCGAGACAGTGGTGAACTGAAAAATCAACTGAAAAAGGCTTGACTCATCAGACTGGAATGAACAAAAAAAAAACTCTAAAGACAATATACACAAAACTACTTGACCAGTTGATATTTGTTATTTCATATATTTGAATACTGCGTAATTATGCATTCAAAGGCGAGGTTGCCTTTCTCAGGTAGTTGGACTTTGTATCTTATTGTCTCGTCTGTGACAAAATTCTCAGAAGAGATATGGGGATGCTATTCAGGTAATGGTGTTAAGTATTTGTATAAAGCCTTATATTTGAAAAGGTAGAAGGCCTGGATGATTTATACCTCATGTTACAAAGTTTGTCATCTGTCCATTGTACTTGACCTCATTTTCATGGTTCAATGATTGCTTAACAAATTTTTTTTTTTGTCATACAAAGAGTACTGTAAATTTAGAAAATTTATTGCGAGGTTTTTATTTTAATGCAAATAATGGGACTACTTGAGTATGACAATAATAAGAACTCACATTCTGTTATTAAATATGTGTATAATATATATCCCTACATAGCTTTTCCTAAAATTGCAATAATTAAACTCCTATTTTTGTTTTAAAAATCTCAATAATACATGCATGCCATAATTTTTTAATTTACAGTAATAGGATAATTATATTTGATATATGGGATCCTTGCAAGATCAACACGTCTGTCAGATAGGTTTCCCCTTGCCTATACTTTATTTCATGGATCAGCGATCAAGGTTAAAGTTACATGAAAAGGTCCATTTCATGAAACTTAATATAGTTGTTTCTTATGATGGTCAAACAATCTGTATACTTTTTGGTGAAAATAAGATTAAAACTTTTTGAGTTACGGGACTTAGTAACTAAAACAGGTGTGTGTTTTTTTCACATGTTGCGCCGTATCTCAAAAACAATTTATGAATATTGCTTTAAACTTTACACACTTCTTAGTTATATTAATCTTAAGATCTGTATACTTTTTGGTGATGATTCAAAATTTTATTTTTGAGTTATTGAGTTTTTTTTTTTAAAAGGGGGGGTTTTCACATGTCACGCCGTATCTCAAAAACGATTAAGATTTATGATTATTGCTTAAGATTTTACACACTTCTTAGTTATATTAATCTAAAGATCTGTATACTTTTTGGTTTTGATTCAAAATTTTATTTTAGAGATATTGAGTTTTTTTGTAAAAAAAAAGAGGGGGTTTCGCATGTCGCGACGTATGTCAGAAACTATTTATGATTATTGCATAAAAATTCACACACAAGACGACGGGCATATCATGCGCTCATGGCGCAGCTGTTTATTACTGTTGCTATTATATAACAAGGCTTGATTCACAGGTAATTTAAAATGTAGATCTAAAGTCTTCCATTGAAAGTGTGTGCACTGCTGTCTACAAACAATAATAAAGAAATGAAGTCCATATTTTGGTGTGGGAAACTGTAAATATCACTCAGATAAAATAAATGGGGAATGTGTCCATGGGACACAGATGATGCCCTTGCTTGCATATCATATATAGTTATAAACATGATAAAGGGACATAACTTAAGAACGGTAAAAGTGAAGCTACCCAAATTTGTACTTGATCTAAGTTTTGTGGTAATAAGTATTGTGTATAAGTTTCAAAAATTTGGTTGAGGCAAACTTAAGTTAAAGAAAGGAAACGAAAAATTCTGCAATTTTTCTATTTGTAATGGGCATAACTCTAGAACAATAAAAGTGACATCCCCAAAGTTCAAACTTGATCTGTTTTTTGTGGTAATAAGCATTGTGTATAAGTTTCATAACATTTGGTTGAGGCTAACTTAAGTTTGAGAACGGAAATGGAAAATTCAGCAATTTTTCCATTTGTAAAGGGGCATAACTCTAGAACGGTTAAAGTGACACCACCAAAATTGAAAATTGATCTATATTTTGTGGTAATAAGCATTGTGTATAAGTTTCATAACATTTGGTTGAGGCAAACTAAAGTTAGAGAATGGAAACGAAAAATTCAGCAATTTTTCCATTTGTAAAGGGGCATAACTCTAGAACGGTTAACATGACGCCTCCAAAATTCAATCTTGATCTGTGTTTTGTGGTAATAAGCATTGTGTCAACATTTGGTTGAGGCAAACTAAAGTTAGAGAATGGAAACCAACTTTGGGACGTACATACGGAAGTACAGACCGACGAGGGTAAAACTTAATGCCCCCTCCGCTACGGCAGGGGCATAAAAATTAAATAAATATTCAACTTCATGTCCTGAAGAAGAATCATTGCAAATTTTCTGGACAATTGATAAAAACAGAAATGGTAAGGTCCTCTTTTTATATGGGGGGAAAGCCATGAAATCATTTTAATAAAAAAAATCAAATTCAAATGCACAATTTCAACAGTTCATGTTTTGTATAAGAAATTTAGAATGTTGAGATGAATTCTAAATAGATAATTTCAAAGAATTGCAGATTAACAAAGTATGATGTGAATGATGACTATGCAAGATTGCAAAAGTGAACACTATGCGTTACTATACATTTTTTGCTATAGTTTCTCTGTTGGGCAACACAATAAAATAGAAACAGAAAATAGTAAGTTCAAAACACGAGTACAGAGATGAGTGAGGGTCTGAATGAGGTTTACAGAATAGAGAATAATGGATAAAAGTGCAGAATAAAGGGCCAACAAAATAAAGAATAGGGAAAAATGTACCAACAAAATAAAATTTTTAAAAATAGAGAATAATGAGCCAAAAAGTTTAAGAAATGAAGAACTCCCTCACCCTATCCACACCCACACCCTCACAAGTTATATTAAAGGTCTGCTACCATGACAACAGGCCAGATGGGTTTTGGGATTTCCACCTTCCTCTGCGGAAGTGGGTAAAGAGTGAGCAAAATTTCTAAACAGTCCTCAGTGGCATCCTTATTACATGTTGTTTCTATTTTATCATCATAAGAATTGAATGTTCAAAACTGTGTAAAAAGTATGTTCAGTTTTTGTATTCACTAGATTTTCAAAATCAGAGATCAAATTTCAATGGACTGTCCATGATGGCCAGGTGGAAAAAACGAACATAATCCTTCATAATAAAGCTTTTTGTCCATCTGAAGCAATTTTCTGGATTTACCTTCATATTAAGAACGCTGAGCTATTTTGTGGCAGTCAGTTTTTATTGGTGGAGGAAGCCAAAGTGCCAAGATAGAACAACCAACCATCTGAGTATCACACATAAATCTGTTACCAATTTTATTGTGAACTAAGCATAATGGCTAAAGGTGTGTCCATATTAACCAGATTGACTAACAGACTTGTTACTATTAAGCCTGCTCCTTTTCCTTAACTTACGTAAATTGTAGTATTTTTGCTGTATTCAATTCCTACATTTGTATTTCTAAATTTACTGGTTTTTTTTGTTACAATTGTCTTTTGTCCTTGACATTTTTCACTCAATAAGCTTGCATTTTAAAACACTAAAAATGTACAAAATGTATGAATGCATTTATTCTAATTTCTATTTTGATGTATATTCACATGCACTCTATTAATATGCCTCTGTACATGCTGACTTAGGCGAAATTCTTTACCACACACACCACACGAAAAGGATTTTTCACCCGTGTGTATAGCATAATGATTTGTCAAGTTGTGACGATTGCGAAATGCCTTATCACACATATCACATTTATAAGGTTTTTCACCCGTATGTATTCTTAAATGAGACCTCAAACTATGATGCTGATTAAAACTGTGCCCACATATCACACATTTGTATGGTTTCTCACCAGTATGGATGCTCATGTGCCTCGTTTTAGAATTTTTCTGACCAAATTGTTTCCCACATACTTCACAAGAATATGGTTTTTCACCAGTATGCGTTGTTGTATGCATCTTAAGGTTTACAGCCAATCTAAATTCTTTACCACAGATACCACACGGATACGGTTTCTCACCCGTATGTTGTCTAAGGTGTATTTGTAGATGTCCACTCTGACTGAATGCTTTCCCGCACGTTTCGCATCTATGAGATTTTTCTCCGGTATGTGTTTTTAAATGTCTCTTCAAGCTGTGATTCTGAGTAAACTCTTTATCGCACAGATTACACTTATAATGCCTTTCGTTAGTATGGGTTTCAAGGTGTCTTTTTAGGTTTCCTTTTTGGCCAAATGCTTTTCCACATTCTTGACATTTATAAGGTTTGTCACCGGAATGGGTTTTTAAATGTGCATTCAAATTACTAATTTGTGTAAACACTTTATCACAAATGCCACAATTAAATTGTTTTTCACCAGTGTGGATTACCATGTGTTTTTGTAGCGTTCCTTTTTGAGTGAACATTTTGCCGCATTCTTCACATTTATAACGTTTGTATCCAGTATGCGTAGGGTAATGTAATTTTAAGTAGCTAGGCTTAGTGAACTCTTTGCCACATAGATCACATCTGTAACATTTTTCACCAGTGAGAGAGAGTTCAAGATTTTCACTACAATTCAACTCTTTATATATAATTTGTTCAGTAATGAGGGATATTTCTCTTAAATTTTCCATTTCCAAAAAAAACCACATATGCACTCATAGAGGTTTTAAATATCAGAAAAACTGTTGTTTATCCATTAAGCTGAGATCTTCGGAAAAAAAGCTGTTCTTTGACCCAGTGAGTGGAATCTGTAGAAAAAAATATTGACACAGTGACCTGAATCTGCGATAAAGCTGTTGTTGACAGAGGAAGCTTGATCAGCTGATAATGTTGTTTCAGAAAAAGTATGTGTGCTTGATTTTCAGAAAAAAAAATGACTGTTGTTGTAACAGTGAGATTGGTCTGGCCCAGAAAAGCTGTTGTTCAATGAACATGTAGAGATTTGTAGAAAAACTGTCCCTAACAGAATGATTGGAGATCAGCAGACTGAAATTAAAGAAACAAATGAATATTATTGACCGAAACAATATTTTTGAGGTGTTTTTTTTTTTTGGGGGGGGGGGCAGTTGTTGGTTTTTTTTAATTATATATGCCATGTACAAATGTATGTTTAATTGTTGTTGTGTGTTTTTTTATGGAGGAGGGGTTGGTTAAGGTTCATCATAACAATTGGACAAATATGGCTGTATTTACACCTCAAAAACTACTCTGTGTACAGACTTACCTGTGCAGTTTGGAAAGTTTTAAGGCCTGGCATCCACTAGATATAAAATCAAATGCATTCTGTGTTTCAGAAAGATAATATCATTTGTGGATTTTGATAGGCATTTTTTTTCATTCCTGCAGAAGGTGTAAAAATAAACAAACACCTGAATTGCATTTGATACTGTCCACTAAGTTACACCCTTTAACTCACCTATAGTTGTGTAGATACCTATTGTCTGTCTATTGTCCATGCCAATCAAGGACAATCAATACAATACAAAACAGTTGTTACCTGAGAGGGAGCATCTCAAAGTTGTATCCCAAATTAGTTTATTTTTACAACTTCTGCAGGAATGAAAAAAATGCCCATTAAAATGCAATAAAGATTTTATCTTTCTGAAATGCATAATGCATTTAACTTTTATATATCTCGTGGATGCCAGGCCTTAAAACTTTTCCAACTGAACAGGTAAGTATGTACTAAGAGTAGTTTTTAAGTTGTAAATACAGCCATTTTTGTCCATTTGTTAGGATGAACCTTAACTGATTCTGAAGGTATTGACAAGCAGTACTGATGATACAAAAATTTAACATTTTTTTGAAAGCAACATGGCAAATTTTTCAAAATTTATAGCAAACACATGCAGATTAGTCAAACAATAAATACACTTTTCTATTGTAATGTCTCGAAAATATTGGATTTTATTTTATCAATAATGTCACTATTTGTGTTCCATACTTTTCGTGTACATTTACATTATAATGTATTTATCTTATTTTATCTTGGATGATGATTTGAGTGTACAAGTTTGTCTAAGTATTAACATTGTTTTAAAAAAAATTGACAAGCACTGGTATGCTTTCAATGCAATTATATCATCATTTGTGTAATGTATGAAATCAAAGTGTCAAGTGCCGGAGTCGCAGTTCATTCTTGTCGATTGGAAGCAATACATTGAAAACGCAAGATAAATATCATAAAATGGACAATTTATTAAACTTTTCAATTAAAAAAATGTAACCAATAAATACAGTATACACAGAAATTACCAATAAATACATTTTACTCACACAAGATTGTCAACCGTCAGAAAATGTGAAGATTTCCCAAGAAAGATAACTCTAAAGATTAACGACCTATCATAGGCGGAGAATCCAAAGATACATTTTATATTGATTTGCAATTTTTTGACGACCAAGGAAGCTCACTGGAAAAAAATTCATCTGCTAAATTTGGGAGACTTCTTACAGAATTTTATATTAAATTTATCACAATTTTTAGGCCTATATATATATTATAGGCAGTGGTTCAAGTATTTGCCGACGGTGCCGGCAAAATAGAAAATATGCTATGTAGCCGGCTCTGATTAAAATATCTTAATTGACAAGCCGGCAAAATAGCATATTTCTACAACATAAAAGCCTAGTTTTTCATATATACTTTTGTACTATAAGTAATTAAACCACTAATTCATAGCCCATTGCTTTTTACAATGATTTGTATAGTGAATCACCAGAGACATATACTTGTATTGTTATGTCTCTGGTATCACTATACAAATCCTTGCTTTTTATGTAAAACCGTCTACCTCATTCTGACATGTTCGGAAAATGGACATCGGGTCCGTTCGCGCCCAATACACGTTCGCACCCTTCACATTCGCACCCCACACGTTCGCCCCCTGGGTCCGTTCCACCCTTTTTTTATTCAAAAACCAGTGATGTTTTTTAGATGCTTATATCAAAATATTTTTATTTTCATAAATAAAAATTCGGGAATTTTTAAATGAAATATTGTTTTAAATTGATTTGATGATTAATTATTAGATGTTAATAATGTATGATTACTGTTAATATGGTGTTTACACATCTAAACTTCAGTTGGTGTTATTGTTTTGTGTTTGAAAATCGTGATTGTTGTTTTAACTAGCTTTGATGTAAATTCTAGCATGTATTTAGCTTGGTATGAGTAAAAACAATGAAGATTCAAAATGTTATTGTTGTTGAGTTTAATAGCGGTTTGGTAATTCAATTCAATTCAATATTTTATTAAAGTCTCATCTCTCAATTATATGGTATTATTACGTGAGTATTTCTGTATTGGCCTTGTTGTTGGTCCGAGGCTTGCTGTATTGGCCTGAGGCGAAGCCGAAGGCCAATACAGCTGGCCAAGGACCAATAACAAGGCCAATACAGAAATACACGTAATGATACCTTTATAAATTAACTACAGTGTTAACATTGTTTTATATACCACAAGAGATAAACATTTTTTACCTTGAAGTGGAACTATCCAAATCTGAGTTCCCATTTATCATGTTTATAAGCTGCAATATCAAATGATCTGGTGTTGTTTCCAGGCGTCTTCTACATTTTCTCATCTGATGAATTTTTCTACCCTTACCAGTCACTATAAAGTGTTACAGTTCATATTTAGACGCAACACATAATTAGTAATACACCACAACGAAATTTGGCAAAAGAACTCCTTTGCGAAAATGGCATTGGAATTTTACGATAAGTTTCTGTTTCATAACTGTTCTTAAATAAATTATATGTTCGAAGTTTGTTTCCACCTTTACCAGATAAAGCTTTCTCTGACTGTAAATTGCATTGCCACTGTTCAACATATAAACTAAACATTTTAGACATAATAGTATTGACAACTGAAGTACTATCAACATATTCTGTAATGATACACAACTGTTCTGCATTACACTCAGACATTTTTTTCCTTACATAAAAATTCCAATTTGTTATGGTATCTTAATATTAAAAAAATATCCAACACAAAAAACCTTTTTAGAAAGTCACTTTATTTTGAAATTTAAAAAAAAAAACTTATTTATAGCAATACACTAACCAAAACACGATTAAAAATATATTCAACACAAAAAAAAACGTCACTTTATTTTGAAACAATAAACAAAAACTTATTTATAGCAATACAATAATCAAAACACGGTTAAAAAATTATTCAACACAAAAATGTTTTTATAGAAAGTCACTTTATTTTGAAACAATGAACAAAAAACAGAAAATGCAGCATATTAGAGCGTACTGATTTTTGGAGTACAAAAACCGATAGTTCGGATTTGAGCAACAGTGCAAATATGCTCACCTATTTTTTTTTTAAAAAGGGGTGTTTTTGATCAAAACCATACTTCTATATAATAACATTTATCAACAAGAGCAATTTATGTATCTCACAGCTAAACAACTGCTAGTAAGTCTGAAGAAAGACGAAACTTATCTCAAAACCAAAAGAGAAAAAAAACCTGAAAATTAGACAGAAACAAAATTTTATTACATACAAACAAATGTGTACTTCATTGATATTCTGTACATTTTGTTTTACAATCATCTTTGACAATCGTATACATGTGACATTTGGACAAATTGTCGTATGATGAATTAAACAATAACAGAAGTGACCACTGGCAAAAATAAAAGTGACCATTACTCCAATTAATCTGATAAATGTGTCCTGCAGACAAATATTAACCTTTTAAAGAACAAGGAAGATCAAATGTTATAAAAACATACCAGCAACGACTGAGAAACAAATTTCATTACCATCAGAATTCACTGCACGTTCACATCGAAATATATAAACGATTCCGGACCAGTGTGACCATTGTAAACATTTTAACTTTCAATCATTCGAATATTTGTATTTCTCATAAAACGATATTATTTTATTTTACTTCACCTTCGTTTAAACTTGAGAAAAATCCTTATTTATATGATGCATGAGGTAGAGGATTTATTCACTCCCAACGATACCCTACAGAGACACCTCAGAAAACAGCCTGGTGATACACTGCATAAATGTGATGTGTGTGCCAGAGAATTTAGTAAAGGTGGAGACTTGAATAAACACACGAGAACACACACTGGTGGAAACCGTCATGACTGTGATGTATGTGGAAAAGGGTTTAGATATCATGGTGGTTTACAGATGCACATGAGAACGCATACAGGCGATAAACCCTATGCATGTGATGTATGTGGCAAAGGGTTTAGTCAGCATGGTAGTTTACGGATTCACATGAGAACACATACAGGTGATAAACCCCATGTATGTGATGTATGTGGTAAAGGGTTTAGTCAGCAAGGGCATTTACGGATTCACATGAGTACACAAACATGCAATACAAGCACAGGTGATAACATATATGACTGTGATATATGTGGCAAACGATTTAGTCATCTTTGTAAATTGCAGATTCACACGAGAAGACATACAGGTGATAAACCCCATAAATGTGATGTATGTGGTAAAGCATTTATTGAACGTGGCGAGTTAAAACGACACATTAGAATACATACTGGAGATAAACCTCATGACTGTGATGTATGTGGTAAGGGGTTTATTCAGCATTATAATTTACAGATTCATATGAGAACACATACAGGCGATAAAATTCATGACTGTGGTGTATGTGGTAAAGGATTTAATCGGTATAGTGATTTACAGATTCACATGAGAACACATACAGGCGATAAACCTCATGTCTGTGATGTATGTGGCAAAGGCTTTAGTCAGAATGGTAGTTTACAGATTCACATGAAAACACATACAGGTGATAAACCCCATGCATGTGATGTATGTGGTAAAGGGTTTAGTCAGCATGGTAGTTTACAGATTCACATGAAAACACATACAGGTGATTAACTCCAGGAATGTTATGTATGTGGTAAAATACTTTTTGGAAGTAGTGACTTAAAAAGAGACATATGAGAACACATAATGGTGAAAAACCTTATAAATGTGATGTATGTGGTAGAGGGTTCTCAGTGAGAGTGGTAATTTAGATAGACACTCGAGAACACATACTAGTAATAAATGTCATCAATTTACTTTTCTGCCAAATAATTTACTTGAAGAAGTGACTTACAGAGATCACATAAGTATGACAAACACCATTAATATGATGTAAGGTGCTTTAGAGTTGTTTTTAGTAGAAATATCATAAAGAGACACATTCTTTCATTTCTTAGGCCATTTTTCTCTATTCTTTAAATTGTTTGCCCATTATTCTCTATTCTTTATTTTGTGGTCCATTTTTCTCTATTCTTTATATTTGTTATAAAAATAGGGAGATGTGGTATGATTGCCAATGAGACAACTATCCACCAAAGTTCAAATGAAGTGATGTAAGCAATTATAGGCAACCGTAAGGCCTTCGACAATGACAAAAAACCATACCGTAAGGTCGGCTATAATAGGCCCCGACATGAAAATATGAAACAATTCAATTGAGAAAACTAACGCCTTAATTTATAACAAAACAGTTTACGAAAAACAAATATGACAAAAAATGAACCAACGACAACCACTGAACTACAGGCTCCTGACTTTGGACAGGCACATAAAGAATGTGGCGGGGTCAAACATGTTTGTGAGCACTCAACCCTCCCCAACCTTGGACAGTGATGCCCATTGTTCTCTATTCTGTAAACTCCCACCACATCCTCTGATAAGAACACATACTAGAGATATGCATTACAAAACAATGTTTTTAATAGATGGGTTTTTTTTTTTAAAGAATCGTTCCCTTCAGAAACACTAAGGTTATTAACCTTTAAATCTATATATGTGAATATTTTTACCTAACCAGTTACCCGGATAATCTTTCGACCGAAAAAAAGGATCTCTCAGGATGAGGTACACATGTATTAAAATATGGTAATTAAGTATAACAGAAATACCAAACTCTAAAACAAATTAAAAAAAGGGGGGTCCATAAAAACTGACAAATCAAACGTAATTTTTTTGTCTTCTTCCGACCTGCAGTAAATACCGGGTCATGTGCGCGTTTTTTGGCTGTGCGGGACGTATGAATTCGCAGCCTCGACTGGTCTCAATTGGAGAAGAGAAAGTGTTGCACTATATATATATTCGCATGTTAATTACCTTTTTTTGGAAGAGTTCATAGGTTGATTGTTGCGAGGCTAAATATCTGTCCCTATCAAATTCAATAGAAAATAATAGAGCAGACATGTTGAAAAGCACCAATAGAAAGATAAAGGCAGTAGCTAATTTGCCGGAACCAGCAAAATAGAGATATGCTATTTTGCCGTCTCCAACATTATAAAAAATGATGACTCCTATGGA